TGAGACTGGAGAAGGCAGGGCTAATTGGAGGAAGCAGGCAACTAAGAGTTGAAGGGTATCTTTTCCCCTCTTCTTTTGAGATAAGGTCTCACATAGCCCTGGCTGATCTCAAACTCACTATGTAGACAAAAATAACCTTGAATATTTGCTTCTTCAATCTCTAAGCATATATACCACTACACCTGACTTGAAGGGTAACTTGTCCATGCCCTGGCTCTCCTCTTTGCTTCCTGGTTGCCATGATGTGAGTAGCTTTCCCCTGCCATGCCCTTCCTCTATGTTTCCTCTTTGTCACAGGCCTAGAGGCAATAGAACCTGGTGACCATGGACTTAAACCTCTGAAGCTGTGAGACAAAAATATTTGTCATCCCTTGTTTGCATCAGTTATTCTGTCACAATGACTAATGGTCTAATACAAAAATACAATATTAATCATGGAATTGTTTTTTAAAAATTTACATCTTTCAAAAAATCTTCATGAACCCTTTCAATATAAAAGCACCAGACATCCACTGTTTGGTATAAAATAACTATCACTGAATGATTCAAAGGTCTAAGTTAGGCTGGTGAGTTAGTGGGTAAGGGTGCTTGTTGTACAAGCCTGATGATGAGTTCATTCCCTAGAACCCATGGTAGAGGAGAGAACCAACTCCTGACAGTTGTTCTCTGACTTCCACATGCATGTAGTAGGGTGTGTGTATGTGTGTATGTGTGTACATACACACAATAAACAGGTCTAAATTTTCATACTGTCTTGGTATCTATACAATATTTAAGTATTGTGACAGTTTTTCAGGAAGATACACTACAGACTTAGCAGTAAACTGAAAGGTGAACCATTTGATTTTTACACGACATGCAAAATGATCTGCAGTGTAACTACTATCCTATGTTGGCCAAGTTACTTAGAATATGTGGCCCTCCTGAGTAGCATGCTGTGTAGAAACAACAGTATCAAGACAGAATTTTGTGAGGAAAATCTGTTTTCCTTTCAACTCAGTTTTTTTCTTGCTAATAGTTCAGGCTTCCTCTTCTTCTTTTTTAAATAGCCTAAGGTTCCAACCAGTTGAGCTGCTGCCACCTTCACATTAAACTTTAATAAGCTAAGCTTTTTAAGCCACATAAAAATTTCATTAAGCATTTCTCAACCTTAGGGAAAACGGAAGGAGGAAAAAAAGGTCAGAACATCACTTTCCACTAGAGTGTCGTCTGCAGAGGGATGCTTTGAAAGGAGCCGCAACAAATGCTAGGAAACAAGTGCCCTTTGTGGCCAGTGCCAGATGGTAAGGTTTTACTCCTTCATCATACACAGGCCCCACCGAGGGTGCCAATTAATGCATGATCATCAAATACCAGGCTCCTAGGACAACTGTGAGTGTCTCAAAGGCCTTTGGATGTGTCCCATTCAGCTCTAATATTATCATTGGTTTTCTGATTAAAATGTTTCCAGAAGAACTCCTGATTATATTATCCTACTTTTAGTGTTCCATATGGCATTTAATAATAATTGTTTATTATTCATATGTTATTTAATAATAATAAACCCAAATCTTCAATCTTTTTTTTTTTTTTTTAAAGCCAGTACTGATTATCATTCCAGGGAAAATGAAAGGGCTGTCTAGCACCTTGGCCTTGAATGGACACTGGTTGCTGAGCTCTCTGGGCTCCCTTACTGCCCACCTCACTGACTCCCAACAATGTGCTGTATAAATAAATTTTCCGGTCAGAACTGTTTACAGGATCAGCCTGATTGTCCTAACCAAAATACATGGAAAAGAGGGACTCATGTCAGAAAACCTCCAGAGCATTGTCTCCTCTATTTTAGTCAAATTCCAAAGAGAAAACTTTACTCTTTCCCCCAACCTGGCACTACCTGCACTCAGTGGGAAGGTGATCTCCCAACCCTGGCTGCTCACAGGAACAAGCTGAGCACACTGATCTGACACCTCTAGTACATGCCCCCAGTGGCACCATGATTAATCACACCTGGGGTCACAAGCCAGTCTAAGAATGAGAAAAGCACTGAAAACGGTTTTTCTCTGATCATAACGCCTGCAAATAGGCATCACTAGCTCTACTTCACAGCAGACTCTCTAAACAACTGGAAATTAAGCACTTCTTAATACCCAGGTTAAAGAAGTGTCAAATGAAAAAATAGACAAGGCTGGGTATGCTGGTGCACAGCTGCCGTTGAGGCCCTTGGCAGCCAAAGGCGGGAAAATATAGAACTGAATGAAAGCATGTGTCAAAATCTGTGAGGCAGAGCTTCGGGAGTGCCGAGAGAGATTTATAGCACAAAATACTTGCATTTAGAAGAGAAACAACTTCAGACAAACTGTAGACTTAACTCCAAAATGTAATAAATACTTTAAACATTTAGAAGCAAGGAGAAAAATCTTTGTGAGACAAAGAGCTTTTTACAATTGAAACCAAAAGTATAATTTCAAGGGAACATACACAACTTAAAACTTTTTTATCAAAGTTAGAAAACCGCCAACAATTTGTTTTTCAAGACTGTCAAAGTGGTTGAGCAGACAAACTGTAGACTAGGAAGCATCTACAAAGCACATGTCTGACAAAGCAATACCATATTTACATATATAGATTCTAAAAACTGAACAGCAAGGGGCTCTCAAATTTTCTGGAAGAGCAGCCAGTGCTCTTAACCACTTGAGTTTGATTCCTAACACCCATACAGTGGTTCGAAACTGCCTGTAACTCCAGCCCCAGAGAATCTGACATCTTCTCTGGCCTCCTGGAGCACTGTATGCATGTGGTGAACAGACATGCATCTTAGCAAAGATATAAAACATAAAGAAATAAAATCTCAAAAAGTTAAAGAGAATCCTCAACAGTAAAAGATAAACAATTAAGGAAGAAATGGACAAGAGACTTAAGTGGACATTTCATTGAAGCACCTGAAAAGATGATCAGGGTGGTGAGAGGGCTGTCAGCACAGTGCCTGCTATGCAAGCATGAGAACCTGCATCTGCATTTCAGCGTCCACAAACCTGGGTGCAGTGGGACACACCTATAACCCCAGCATACTCAATTCTTACCTCTGGCTTTCACATATATGTGCCTGTGATTACACAGAACAATCACACATGCACACACGCAAGATGCTCAATTATGACCACTGGAGAAATGCACATTACAATAACAAAAGAAATGTTATTACACCAAATTCTGTCAGACATGGAGGAACTGGACTAGGCACACATTGCCAGCAGGAATGTAAAATGATGAAGTCCATTTGGAAAAGGCCATTAAAAAAAATACTAAACTATTCATCAGGCTGTAGTGGCATACTCCTTTAATTACAGCACTTGGAAGGCACAGGCAGGCTGATTTTTGTGACTTTGAGGCCAGCCTGGTCTACAGAGTGAGTTTTAGGACAGCCAAGGCTACACAAGAGAAATCCTGTCTTGAAAAGCCAACAAGAAAAAAAAAAACCCAAATATTTACTTACATTGTGTTCAGAAGTTATATTTTTATTTCAGGGAAATGAAAACTCATGGCCAGACAAAAAGGTGTACATGAATATTCATAGCTGTTTTATTACTCCACCAAAATAACTCAGCTATTCTTCAATGAGTGGATGGCTAAGTAAATTATAGTACACCCACACTATGGAATACTATTCACCAATAAAAAAAGAGTTACTGATGTACTCAGTTTGTAAGGACTTCTAGGGAACTATGCCAAATGAAGATGAAGAAACCTAGCTCTCCAAATAAAGTATATACAACATTCTTTTTTGGTTTTGGTTTTATTTTTCAAGACAGGGTTTCTTTGCATAGCTCTGGCTGTTCTGGAACTAGTTGTTTGTAGACCAGGCTGGCCTCAAACTTACTGAGATCCACCTGTCTCTGCCTCCCAAGTACACACACCACTACCACCTGGCTATACAACATTCTTGAAATGACAACACCAGAGATGGGGAACACGTTAGTAGTGGTGAAGGATTAGGGGAGTCGCTGGTTATGAGACAACAGATGACATTTTCCTTACAGCTTGACTGTGGTAAGCTCATCAATCAACATGTGATGGAGCTGAATAGAAGAGCACAAGCATATCCAGGAGCACAAACCAAACAGGACAGCTCTGAAGACATCAGTGTACTCAGTAACAGCAGTGGACCTGTGCTGTGGTATTTCTACAGTTAGGCAAGATGCCATGACCGGAGAAATAGATCTCTACTGCTTCTGACAAATCAGACCAAGGTTACCATTACCCTCACACTTAGAAAGAGCTGGTAATGCTGACAAAATGCAGACAACCTGGATGGAACCATGAGACACTTCACACTGACAAGTACAGAACACCGAGATGCCAGTGTCAGGAAATAGAGCAAAAAGACAACATAACCGAAGGCCACCCACATTCTGACCTAATCAGCCTGTAATGATCTTTGCTATCAAGGACACATCTGAGCAGTGCTGGAGAATATGAGAAAGCCTACAGGTTAAGAAATGTATCAAGCAGAGTAGTGGTGGCACATGTCTTTAATCCCAGCACTTGGGAGGCAGAGGCAGGTGCATCTCTATGAGTTCAAGGTTAACCTGGTCTACAGAGTGAATTCTAGGACAGGCTCTACAGCTATGTGTGTGTGTGTTTGTGTGTGTGTGTGTGTGTGTGTGTGTGTGTGTGTGTGTGTGTGTGAAAAGACAAGAAATATATCAAAAAATGACTAACTTCGATAATCATACTGTGGTTATATAAAACAATGTTTTCTTTCTTTCTTTCCTTTCTTCTTCTTTCTTTTTAAACTGAAATGGAGTTTAGCTCAGACTAGCCTGGAACTCATTGTGTAGCCCAGCTGGCCTCAAACTCCTAAGTGCAGGGATTAGAGGTGTACACCACCATCCCTGACAACAGTACATTTATTTTGTTGTTGTTGGCTTTGTTTCTGAAATACATTATATAAAGAAGTATTTAAGCTGTATGATCACAGGATTCTCATGGATTATGGCTGGTTAGAGTACTGGTTAGCTCACCTGGTTCCTGTCGCGAGCATTTGTGTACCTGATCTTCTGAATGAAGTAGAATATGAGCCACGCTGAAGAAATAATCATCAAAACAATAAAGGATATTGACACGAAGACTAGAGAGCCACGGCTGAAGTTCTTTGGCGGCATTCGAGTTCCAACAGCTATTGTCATTTGTACAGAGATGTTTTTCTCCAGATAACTCAAAATATCTTTACCCCTCAATTCTGTTATCATGACAGCAATAATATCTCCCGTGCCTGTAATGTAAAACAAATACACAGACTCAAGCGACATCTGAAATTCATAGAAACATCAAATAAATTTACATATATGTACCCTAGAGAAATTACTACAATTTCTGCTAGTGAGAAAGGTTTGCAGATTCCACTGGTCAGATGACATGAGGCTGCAGCTGTGCACACTGACAGGAGTAGGAGCATATGCAGTACTCCAGAAAACAAAACAAAACAAAAAACAGGTAAGACATGTAACAACTGTAGTCTTAACAATGCATGAACAGCCTTGCAGCTGCACTGAGAAACATTACGAAGCCAGCCATCTGTGACTTAATCAGGGTGGGTTTACAGTATAAATCCTTTCTACAGCAAATGATCTTGAGAAAAGTGCTATCACTTATGGTATAAATAAGTGGTTCTTGTACTAGTCATTCTAACATGCTTTGCTGAGCAACAACTGTGTGTAGAACTAGTACAGGGAACAGAGGGAAGCACATATGTCTTATGATACATGGCTACAGAGTGACTTAACAAAGTCCCAAATGGCAACATCTTTTACTGATAATATTTGAAAAGAACTTTGGTCTTCTGTCTAGAGCTAACTGGAGTAAAGGTCCTTCCAGAGACCTTCTGAATCTCAAACACATGATTTTCCCTACCCAGTTTGAAGACAGCATCTCATGTTGCCCAGGCTAGCCTCAAAGTTGAATATTCTATCTCAGTCTCCCACCGTGTCTAACCATGCTCAATGCACTCAAATCCTCTAGGCAGGTCCAAGTTTCAAACTTCTGGACTAGTATCCAGAATGGAACCCAAAGCCTTCAGCTTTTAGTAGCTATACAGAGGTTTGTCCACAGACACAAATTATGTAAATTAATCACAAGGATGGTTCAATTGTTTTTCTAAGTCCTTTTCCTATATGGTTTCTAGGGCCAGTAATAAATCAAAACAAGCAGCCAAGGATAACATGGATCACTATTGCTTTTGTCCTCTAATAGGGAGCAGCTTTCCACTTTATTTTAAGGAGGCAGGGAAACTTCTCTACTACATGCAACTGTCAGCAGCTGTCCTTTTCTAAGGGAAAGTTAAGAGTGGCAACATGCAACTTTTATAATCTATCTTTTCTGAAGAACCTGGAGAAAGATTGGAGGCTAGGCCTCCCATTTTATTTTGGGAAAGAGAAAATTATAACCACTCATGTGAATATGAAGAAGGGTTGTGCATCCAAATATAAGATACTCCCTAAAAACAAGCAAGCAGAGTACCCCAAAACTTGACCTTTTGAAGGCTCCTTCAACGAATATTAAAAAAAAAACAAAAACAATTATTTGGGTTTTTATGTTTTGCTATGTTTAGCAGTTGAAATGACATGTAACAGAAACTCAGTAACAATAGTTTCAAGAAAAATGTAGCCAAATGGAATATATATTCATGTAGTATTGTATTCAAAATGGTTTTAGTCATTTTATCAGAGTAGCAGCTTATAAGTTTTTTTTGGCTTAAAAAATCTATAAACAAAAACAAAAGTGCAAAATTAAAGTTAGCATTATTAAGTTAATACCTGCCTCTGGTCAGTAAGTTAAAAAGAAATCATAAAATAATGCTAAACCAGTGTAAATTTCCATTTAGAAACCTTAAGTTTGTGCTTTTACAATGTTGATAAACAGGCATGATCTGTGGTGTAGGATACCAGGTATGGCTATAAAGTAACTGAGACGGATCCCACAAACGACATATGACAATCAGTCTCATTGCTTTATAATCACACCAAGTACAATTGGTTTTAGAAATCAGTTCTGAGGCTCCCTCTTGAAGACACAAGCTGGAAAAGTAGTGGGGAGAGCTGCACAGGTAGCCAAGGGAACCAATCCAACAATTTCCTTAACCGAACACTAAATGGACGAGTCAACTAATCTTAACAGAAGAGCTGTTTGGGAAAGAAACATTTAATTAGTTCAACACCAGTCAATAATCATTGAGCACAGATCACAATCAAGGTTTTCTTTCACTTATTTTAATTTTTATTTTCCTTCACTTCTTAAGGGATAAGGAAATTACCTGATATTAACTGACATGAAAAGTGTGTCTATTCTCAGGAGGGCGAGAGTGAATGAATCTTGGTATAGCCTTACCCTAGCACAAGGAAGAGACTGGGAAGTGCTGGCAAAGGAGACTGAAAATGATCAAATAAAAAAATCACAGCAGCACATTCAAATATGAGTGAAGGCAGTGAACTGTTACAGGTGCTGATAAAGTGCACTGCAGACCCTTTCTCCCCAACACCTATAGCTGGGCTGGGCTCCAAGAACCTAACTTAAGATGGCTCAGACACTCATTTGGACATGGAGGCTAAAGAGATGATTCAACGGTTAAGAGCACTGGCTGCTCTTGCAGAGGATGGGGCTTAGTTTCTAGCACACACATGGTAGCTTGTAATCACTGTAATTCCAGTACTAACGGGAACTGACACATTCTTCTGGCCTCTGAAGGCTCTTGAACACAAGGTGCACATAGACTCATGCAGGCACACACATACATATTCCAAAAAAACAGGTAAATAAACCTTAAAAACAAAACAGCAAAAGATCTTGGGAGTGTTGGTCCAGATTGAGGAGGGATGATGACCGAAAAAGTTTAGCACTCAGGATAAAATCAGAATTAGAATGGCAGTGATTGGCGGAGAGGAGGATTCACTGGACTAGAATGATGAAAACATTTAAGCAGACAAAATACTTGTTAAATTCATCACTAAACCTATGTTCTGCAACACCAAGACATGGCTTTGGAATTCTATGCATTTCAACAACCAGGCAGATATGTATTAATTTTCTATTGCTGTGACAGAACACCATGACAAAGGCAATTTACAGAAGGAAGGGATTATTTGACTTATAATTCCAGAGGGAAAGAGTCCATCATAGCAGGGAAGCATGCAGCGAACAGCAGGCATGGCAGGCAGCAGGAACTGGATGCTAAGAGCTCACATCTTCTTTTTAAAATATTGTTAATTTTAGTTTCAATTATGTGTTTATGTTGTGGGTTTGTGCATGTAAATTGGAGTTGTCTGAGGAGAAGAGGAAAGGCCTGATGTGCATACTTGAACTGAACTTAGGTCCTCTCCAAGAATAGAATGTGCTCTGAACTTCTGAGTCATCTTTCCAGCCTCACATCTTGAACTGTAAGCAGTAAGCTGAGAGAGCAACAGTAAATGTTGGGAGTCTTTTAAACTCTCAAAGCTGGCCTCCATATATACTTTCTCCAACAAAGCCACACCTCCAAAACATCCCCAAATGGCACTACCCCATGGGGAACAAGTGTTTAAATATATGCACCTGTGGAGGATTTTCTTATTCAAATCACCACAGATAGTTTAATTTCTTAGAGATGACAATGAAATGAAGACTATTATGATCCTTGCTTTTAGATACTTAAAATTTTCTTCATTTTACTTTTTAACTACTTATATGTATGTATGTATGTATGTATGTATGTATGTATGTATGTTTGTATATCTGTACCATGTTTATGCTGGTACCTGTGGAGGCCAGAAGAGGGTGTTGGATTCCCTGGAGCTAGTTACAGGTGATTGTGAGCTGCCCAATGTGAGTTCTGGGAATTGAACTCAGGCCCTTTGGAAGAGCAGCCATCTCTCCAGTTGTCCAATTTATCCTTTTTAGTACCGTAGTGTGGCTACTTAAATTAGCAATTCTTTTCTTTTCCTTTTTATTCTGAGAATTTTCTTTTTTTCTTCATAACTTAATTTATTCTATGCATTGGTATTTTGATTGCATGCATGTCTGTATGAAGATGTCTGGAATTGGAGCTATATACAGCTGTGAGCTGCCATGTAGGTGCTGAGAACTGAACTTTGGTCCTCTGGAAGAGCAGCCAGTACTCTTAACTGCTGAGCCATCTCTTCAGCCCCAGTATTCTGAGAATTTTCAAATGGAACAGTTTCAACACTATGGGAACATTTATGTACCCTTTGTTTAGATTTTCTACATGTATTTCTTTTTGCTGGACCAATTGGGAGAAGATTACAACCAACAGGACATTTCAATCTTTAACAATTCAGCAATATCTACTAAGAACAAGGCTATTTCAGATGCTCACAATTTATTAATTCTACTAAAACTTACTTCTGATAAATGATATAGTGTTTAACATATTTCATATTCAAATATTCTGATTCAGCCTAATAATTCAACCAGGGGCTGTGGACACTGTACCTGGCTGTCTTGTCCCATAGCTTCCTTTAATCTAAAATAGTTTCTTAGTCATTTTTAGTCCATTGTTCATGAAACTGACTTAAAAATACATAACTTTATTTATTCATTGACTGTGTATATGCATGTGTCATGATGTATTTGGAGTGAGAGGAAAACCTGCAGGAGTTAGTTCTCTCCTTCTATCAAGTGGACCCCAAGGGACAAAACTTAGGTTGTTTGGTGGCAATTGTCTTTGGGTATCGCCAGCCCTGTTTTTGTTTTTCAAGACAAGGCTTTACATAGTCCAGGCTGGCCTCAAAACTTGCTACAGCCGAAGACCACTTCATGGTCCTGATACTCCTGCCTCCACCTCAAGGAATAGGACTACAGGTGTGAACCACCAAACTGCCTGGTGAAAATGCCTTTCTGTTTGGGCTCATTTGATTAGTTCCTGATGGATGTTCTCTTATTGTTGGTAAGAGAGCTATGAGGTAATCCTTTCCTTCCTTTCCTTCCTCCCTCTCCAGGGAATCACCTCAGGAAGCAAATGATGGTTTTACTCTTATTACTGATGGCAAACTTTATGACCTGAATAACTAGTACCTGGCAGATTTTATTATAAATAAATGTATTTCTATTAATTAATAAGCAATCTGTAGTATAATACTTTCTGATCCTGTGAATAGCCAGAGCCTCAAAAAGCTTTTACTCAATGCTCTCAGCACCCACTGATGAAGTAATTACTATAATGACATCTACAAAACTGTTACTTGCTAATCTCCCGAAGTGATTCTGTCATCAGAGCCATTAACAATATTTCACCTTCATGAAAACACACAATGAAGCTGGACCTGGTGTTGTGCATTTCTAATTACAGCTCCTCAAGGAAGCTGAGGCAAGAGGCTAGCAAGTTCAAGGGAAGCTTGGTTAACTCAACAAGACATTGTCTCAAGATAAATAAAAATTAGGAGGGTTAAGGTGTGGCTCAGTTGGTAGAGTGCTTGCCTAGCATGTGCAAAGCCCAGGGTTTGATCTCCAGTACCACACAAGATCAGGCATGATGGTTCATGTTTGTAACCCCAGTACTCAGCAGATAGAAGGGTCAGAAATCCCAGGTCATCCTCATCTACACAGCAATTATGAGGCCAGCCTGGATACACAAGACTTGTCTACAAAAGCAATAGTAAAATAGGTAAAAAGAAGCTGGATATGGTGGATCGTGTTTATAGTCTCAGCATTGGGGAAGCTGAGGCAGGAGGATTACACTGAGTAGTTCTAGGACAGCATGAATCAGAGTAAGATTGTGTCTCAAAAACAACAATAAATAAACAGGAAGCAAATTTAAAGGAGCTGGGACATAGCTAAGTGGCAGCGGAAAGTGTAGCATTCCAGTTCAATTCCCAGGACAACAAAAGCCACCACCACGAATGGCCGCAGAGCTGCTGGGCCATCTGTCTTTCTGAAGAGTAGAGTACCTGACTACCAGATAGTCTATATTCCAGTGAGAAAAAAAAGGATTATGCCTACAATAAAATCAACTTTGAGGTGCCAAATTAGGAACCTCAGAACTATCTTCCTTTTGGGCTCTGGAATCAGAAGTTCTAAGATTCAAATCTGAGTAAGCTGTATAATCCTTCTGAATATCAGTTTCTCTTTTCAAATAGTTAGGAACTGACTGCAAATTTCATGCTAGATGGTAATAAATGCTATAAGATAATCTGTTATCTGTTGTTATTCATAGAAAGTAAAAGGAGGAACTCCTTACTACAGAATGTAGGACTCCATTTTCTCTTCAACTGTTCCCTACCAGCTCAGGAGGCACTCAGCGTCCTGCAGACCAACACTACCCTCCTGATGCAAAGAAGATCCAGGCTTCAGCATCTCCCGGTAGGGAAAAAACAGAGATTCCTTCCTTTACCTTGTCTTGCTGTAAGTTTCCTGACTAGCCCAGTGCAGCTGGGATGCTGGCAAAAGACCCAGGAAAAGGGGGTGGGGGAGCTATCTGAGTTCTCAGACTACAAATGGAGAAAGGCAGCCTAGCTTTTCTGCTGCAAGCTTACCTGTTTTCTAGAAAATATCATCTTTGTGTAAGATCCCACTTAAAACAGGTCAATAATTGAATCTGAATCTGTCTGCTAAGTTCAAATCATCATGCAAAGCTCTAAGGAGTTTAAAAACTCATGGACAGACAATTTCAGGAAGCTTCCTTTTATAGAAGCTCAAGGGCATACACTCTCATAATAAGCACCTTCAACGACACCATTATACTGGGTAGTTACTGGCAATGGCACTGCAGTTATTCCTGCAGAACCCAGTGAACTTTCACATGTTAATCAGAACACCACAGGCTAAGTGAAAGAGACTTAAATCACCTCAAAGTTCTAGAATGGCTACTGAAATGACAGACACAAGTGTAAGTAACTTGGGGATTTTCTACAGCACTCTGTTCATTTGTCAAGGGGCAGCCAAGTCCTACACTGCTTCCACCTGTATCAGTCAAGTCTGTTCACAGATGGCTCCACTGGCTTAAGTCCTTAAGTTTTTCCTTTTTTTCATGTTTGGC